GAGGTCGATGAGCTACGTCCTCAGGGACGCCATCGTCGTGCTCGTCTTCGCTTTCGCCGCCGCAAAGCTCGATAACTGGGCTCTCTGGCCGCTCTACTGGGTCGCTCAGTGGACCATGTTCTGGGCAATCTTCATCCTCGGGCACGATTGGTAATTCATGACATTCAGCCACCATTGTTCTATTTTGTTTTGTACATGCACCCTCAGATTGGATTGGATTGGTTGTTCTTCGTAGGCTCAAATCCCTAAACTTGTTTTTTTTTTTAATCTGGGTACTGGTTCAATTTGTAGTCTGGCATTCGTGTGTATTGGGGATTGAATTTTGTTTTGGTTGATTGCAGCGGACATGGGATCGAAATCCGATGGTAATCAATCGATTTCATGGCCATATGGTTCCGTTCAGAGCCTTCTACTTCTCTAAAGACGAGAAGCTTCTCGTCTCCGATTACATGGCCGTCGGCAGCTTGTCGGTTGTTTTTGGTTTGGTTTCGGTTGTTTTTAGGTTTTCTATTTTTTAATTTTTTAATGAATGTAATAATGAGGTGGAAAATATAAAAGTTTATTTTTAATAATTTTTTAATTGCCACGTCATGTATTTAACGGTCAACTATGAAAGTTGACTGCCACGTAAGCTGGAGTTAACGGAAATAGACGGAGAGTGACCAAACTTGAATCATTTAACTAATTTGAGTGACCAAGACTGGATGTAAATATTTTCAGTGACCAAACATGAACGTTTTTTGTAATCTCAGTGACCAACCATGCAATTAACCCAATTTTTTCATTTAAATGTTTCCCCTGTATTGGGGCTTTCTGAAACCAACGTGTGTCTTCCTCAAACACGCCACCTGGCAGCTGCCTTCCCCTAATGGGCATTAAAAAGGCTTTAGGGACGTCGATCGATCTCTCTACCACCATGACAAGGAATACAAAATCACATATATCCGGAGCTCATCCCCTCCTTCTCCGAGCCGGCACCGCTGGTTACAGCGACGATGGGTAGTCTCCTGGCGACGAGAGACTTATTATTATTATTATTAAGAACTCTGTTCCTGGCACCATAGTTAGTAAATACTCCGTTTAATACACGTATATGTACCCGTACGTACTTTATCCGTTTAAAACTTCCGTATCCGTATTATTGTCAAGCCGTTTCATTTTCCCCCGTTCATTTCATGGTTCCCGTACTAAACACGTATAAAACCCGTATAACACGTTTATTATCCGTATTTTACGAATTAAATTGTTAACTTTACTATTATTTATATATTTATTTATTTTTAAAATGATTAATTTTATATATTTATGACTATTAACGTACTATTAAACGTAATTTTAGCTTAAAGATGAAGTATAATGCCCGTACGTATCTTTTACGTAACTTTCCCGTACCGTATTTTACTAACTATGCCTGGCACTAGCGCTGAAGCTTTGACCCTGAAAACCCTTCGACCCGCCCCGACCCGTCCCGGCCCTTAGGGTCGAGCCGGGTCAATTTGTATGAAGGGTCAAAAGAGGGTCGGGTCTTCGCCTTAACCCTGTAAGGGCCGGGTCAAATTACACTTGACCCTAAAAGACCCATCCTGACCCTAATAACCCGAAATGACCCTACTCCTGTGAAAATTGACGAAGACGAACACACACTCTTCTCGGCTGAAAGAAAAATTCACCCTAAATCTCCAACATCTCTCGGCGGCGTTCTCCGAGCTCAGGGACGCCATCGACTGCCTTCATCATCGCCAACGATGTAACGACGTTCTCATCGACTGATTCTCGGGGACTTCCGTCCGGCATCCTGCCCAGTCTTCGTGCTCCGATCTCAAGGTCGATTGTCTTCAACTACTCTGATCATCTAGCGGAGTCGACTGAGAACCAACATTGAGGTGAGTCGAGCAGATCCTGGTTTCTGATTAGTTCTCGAATCCCTTGTGCTTCAATTGCTTACCTGGGTCTTCTTCACTCCTTTGCAGGGAAGATAGCTTTCGTCCCTCGTGTTCAAGGTATATACTTCGTGGCCTTCGTGTTTTGAATTGCTCACCTGGGTTTTGGTCTCCGTCTACCAGGTGTTTGATGTTTTGCCACTGAGGGCAATATATCCTATAACCAGCTCCTGAAAGAAGAAGTAACTCTTTCAAATATCCCCTTGGACCTTGCATCTGGTAAGTGATCAGTCCTTAACCAATGATGTAGTTAATTGTCCATCCAATGATTTTGCTCTCATGTTGCTGAGCTTAAGACTAGGATGTGAGAGCATCCCGATTTCTTTTTCTGAAGTTCAATTTCTTAGTGTTGGAATGAATTGATTGCCAATTTGGTCAGCAGTAACCAACTCCACCACTCATGTGTGATTTTCGCAAAAGAGATGATCATTTTCTTTTCTAGTGTTCGGTTTTCCTTTTGCGTTATCATTATTGCAGAAGTAATTTGAACTTATAAGGTACAATAGAAAGAGGATGGTGAACAAGCCGGTGTCGATTACCTGAAAATTCCTTGTCGGGGATAGGAATCGACGCTGGGATCGATTGTTATCTCCACCGGAAATAGTGATTTCTTTCCATAAAAAGTATTAATATAAACTAATTAAAATGTGTAAATTGATGATTGGTGCGGTGCACCACGTAGGCAATACACCGGGAGCACCTAAGATTTTCTCTTATGTTACAATAGAAAGGGGCGATCATTAGATGAAAAATTTATTGTAGCAAGTGTCACTACCCTTACACTTAATATATTTTCCCCTTCAAATATATACATAATTTTTCACTCATTATGTTGGTTGATACTAGAGTTGGTATCATTTTGAATAAGTATGATGGTCGATACTAGAGGTGGTAAATGAATTGAATCATGGAATGGTGGATTGGATTGGTAGATTTATGGATCAAATGAATTGGTAGATTCATGAATTGGATCATGAATCTAAGTGACCTCTAAAATTGGACCAATATATAAATTTTGAAAAGTTTAGATACTAAAATATCATGATAAAAATATTAGGTACCAAAATGTAATTTTTTATTGATAATTTTATTATAAAAATACATTTTAGACCAAGTGTAATTATAAAAATAAAGGTATTGTAATGTAATTTGCAAAAGATCAATAAATCTAGTCTATGAATCCACATATTCAATTGAATTTAGATCAAATGGATTATATTTGAATAAATTGAATTAGTTGGATATTTAAGTGGGTGAATTAAATTAAATTAAATTGGTAGATTGGATACAAAATTGCCATATATATCCAGTTGATACTGTTTGTTGGTAACTTCAATTCACATAATATATCAATTTTGAAAAAAATATCCCATGTTGGCTCGAATAAGGCTATATGTCCCGGCATTAATGGAAAAAAAGACATGTATAAAGTGAACAAGAATTTAGATTAGCTTGTTTTCTATTTAAAAGTCATATGTGTTCGAATCTCCTATATATCACATTCACACAACAATTTTGTATTGGACTATGGCTTGTTCACACCAAACATGAATCAAGCACCAGTAGTAACAACAAAGATGGAATCTTTTGGGGGAAAAAATCTACTCCTCCAACCCATTGATCAATTTGTTAAAGGATTAATAGCATGGTTGGTCACTGAGATTACAAAAAATGTTCATATTTGGTCACTCGAAATATTTAAATTCATTTGTGGTCACTAAAATTAGTAAAACAATCCAAATTTAGTCACTCTCCGTTAGTCTCCATTAACACCGTCAATTATTTGCTGATGTGGCTAACAAATATGCTGATTCACCCCATTTTAACCTGCCACGTCATAAAACCCGACCCGTCATGTCATTAAACCTGCCATGTCAGATTATTATTAATCATTTAAAATAAAATAAAAAATATATAAAAACCAACACGGATTCCCATCTTTCTGTCTTCTGCTCTCAACCCCTCTCTGATGGAGAGCAAAAAAAAATCCCCTCTTTGGTGCAAAAGCTTCTTCTGGATCTTCTCTGTTTTCTTCCCCGTCTCTTCATAATTCCATTCCCTAACCACAACGGCCTAAATTATCTCTTTCTTTCTCCTTAGAGACCGAAACAGAAAGAAGAACCAAAACCTTCCAAGCTTCCCCCTTCCTTCATCTCTCTACCCCCTGCTAAAGCTTCCTCTTCCAGTCTTCCTTGCTCCTTCATCCAACCCTCTGCTAAAGCCTCTCACCTGCCTCTTCTTCTACTCTTTGTTGGAAGGGATCTTCTTAATTCCTCTGCCTCTTTGTTGGATTGGATTATCGAAAATCTGGGCCTGGTGGGCAACAGGGGATTCGCTAGATCTAGATCGGCGACTGAGGTGGAGAGTAGCAAAAGCGGCTTAATCCAAGAAATGGAAAGACCTTGGAATCCCTCTTTCTCATCATCAATATCGTCAAAGTCAGACGGTGATGGGGAAGCAGCGAGGGAGAATTCAGAAGTCATGGCGACACAAGCTTGGGCAGGGGAACCATGGAGGTGCAGCGGGGATTTGAATTGACGAGATAAGGAGAGGGAAGGAACGGAGCGACGGATGAGGAGGAGCATGCGAGAGGGATAAAAGCTGGGGGTGCAATTGTTGCGGCGACCAATTCAAGCACCATTCAGACCTGGTTTTCGAAGGGAATGCAAGAAACATGAAGAACTAGAGAAGATGGTTTTCAGATCTGGAAAGGAAAAAAAAGGATAAACCCTTATTTTGTTTGAGTGGACAGTTCATGGGTAGGTGGGTCGGTTTGATTCAAGGGTTGGGTTGGGATGGACAAAATGATATGGCAGGTTATAGTGACATGGCAGGCCGGATTTCATTGTTTTTGGGTTAAATTAGACTGACTAGACGATTCCGTCTGCCACCTCAGCACATAACAGTCTTGGTTAACGGAGACTAACGGAGAGTGACCAAACTTGAACGGTTTTACTAATTTTAGTGACCACGAATGGATTTAAATATTTCGACTGACCAAACATGAACGTTTTTTGTAATCTCAGTGACCAACCATGCAATTAACCCATTTGTTAAACATGATAGTACAAAAGCCAACCATGCACGATGCACAATACCGGCGGAAGTCAAAAGTATCGACCAATGAGATTGCGACGTACTTAGTCCATCGCTCCAGGCTCAGTCAACAGAAAAGAAAATTGGTCTGACGAAAGCACACCGTTAAAAAAGCTTGACTCCCTCGCCGTCAGCTAGTAGAAAAAAACCGAAACAGGGGAAAGGAAAGGAAAGGAAAGGAAATGGCGTTCTCGGAGAAGAGAGAAAACAACGGCGCCGCCGAAGACAGCAATCACTCTCGCCTAATCAAGCTCCGGGAATTTGACGACACCAAATTAGGCGTCAAGGGGCTCGTGGACGCCGCAGTCGCCAAGGTGCCGGAAATATTCAGGATCAGCAACAACAACAACAAACACCAACTACCTTCCGACCTCGACCACAGCTCCTCCGGCTCGGTGCTCACCATTCCGGTCATAGATCTCAAGCACCCAAATACTACGGCGGCGGCGGCGGTGCGCAGAGAGATTGTCGGCGGGATCCGCGGCTCATGCGAGGAGTGGGGGTTCTTCCAGGTGGTCAATCACGGGATCCCGGAGGGGATTCTGGATGAGATGATCCAAGGGGTCCGGAGATTCCACGAGCTGGACCCGGAAATCAAGAAGCGGTACTATACCCGAGACCTGATCTCCGGGTTTTTTTTGGTTTCCAACTTCGATCTGTATCGGTCCGCCGCCGCCAGCTGGCGCGACACGATGGGTTGCGTCGCCGCTCCGGATCTTCCCCCGCCGGAGCAGCTCCCCGACGCAACCAGGTACGTACCCTTTGTGATGATCTGAGTTAGGTGTGCCTTTTAATTCGCCGATAAGGTTGACTATGCAAATTTATTTCGCAAGATATTGTGTCCCGCTTTGTTCTTATCTCCCTCCCTATCTTAATTGCCATTTCAGCAACTTGTCTGCTCTGCTCTGCTCGTGTGCCATGAGAAAAACAAGTTAAGCCATGGCTACCGATATTTGAGATATTTATTACTATTTGGTGTTATCGAATTATATTATTTTTAGAAATTGAATTTTTTTTTTTTTTTGCGATATCGATATTAGAGATTATTATGAGATTGAGATTGGTATATACAAAAATATCTAGCAATACAAAAGGTTTACAATTAATTAAATACAGGTCATTTCGTTTTGTTTGACAATTCGTAAGCCCCCATCCATTCTAAGTTTAGCTTTCACGTTGTCTCAAGTCACTCTCGTCTCGCGCTCAATCTCTTGTTATTTTCAGAACATAAAAAAATCGAACACCCTCATTAATCGTTTCTCACCCTCCAGTCCATCGAATCAAAGACTACTAATAACTAAAATTGAGAGATCACTATCTCGTCTCTTCTACTTTGTCCATGCCTTATTTTGAGACAAACTCAAAGGCTTTAATTGGTCTCGTAGCCCAAATGGAAACACGTCATGAATCTATTTAATTATTAGAGACCTTGATTTAATCCATTCAGTGGAAATTTTGATGAGTTTTTATTAGAATTTTCTCACCTTAACTTTCCATCACCAACATTTTCAATCATGAAATAAAACCTGCAAGTCTACAACGTAACATATAAACATGTTCATCATTCGAAGTGTTTCAATTATTATTTGTGTATGTACTTAATTATTAATTGTGAAGATAATTAATTTAGTATTTACAAACCTCGATATCGTTTAGAAATATTTTAAAATTGGGATACTCAATTTATTTTTGGTTTGAAATTGACATTAATTTTAAATCAATATTTGGTATTCCGAATTTCGATATTTGGTATTCGAATTCTCATACCGTACCGGTTTCTCCCGTTCTGATGCAACTCTTTCATAATCTTTTAACATCACAGGGACATATTGATCGAATACAGTAAACAAGTGAAGCAACTGAGTAAGACAATCTTGGAGCTCCTGTCAGAGGCCCTGGGTTTGGAACCCAACCGGCTGAACCAACTGGGTTGTGGGGCGGGACAGCTGCTCCTTGGCCACTACTACCCAGCATGTCCTGAACCGGAGGTGACCATCGGGGTGACGGACCACACCGATGCCAGCTTCATCACCATCCTTCTCCAGGACCAAATCGGAGGCCTCCAAGTTCTTCATCGCAACAAGTGGGTCGATGTCCAACCGAGGAAGGGCGCTCTAGTCGTCAATCTCGGTGACCTTCTCCAGGTTAGCCCTTCTTTTTTTCTCGATCCATCATTCGTTTCGAACCCGATTCGTCGAAAGAACACTTGTGATTCGCTGAGGAGTTAGAAGTGACATAAAGCATACTTGTCTACTTACAATAGTACGCAAATTTGACGTACGTTTGCTTCATGGATTTGGAGGATGGATTTGGGCATTTGGCACCCAAATCCAATCCATCAAGGATTTAAGAAAAATCCATTGTTTGCTTGTACTTTTTTTAGAGACCAAGTCCGTGAGGTCCAAAGATTTTAAGGGTCCAAATTCGTGGACCCCACAGACTTGTAAATCTCTCACGTTGATGTGGAATTTGGAACATGACATAAATCCTTGATGAAATTTTACCCATATACCCTCATGAACATTTAATATTCCCAGGTTGTCCTCAAATTTAACTATTATACATTATAATTAATCAATTAATTAACAACAAATGAATAATATAAATATTCAATTAATGTGTTAGATTTTTTATATCATTTCTTATGTTCTAGTTTTCTTTGACCTTTTCATGGAACGTGTAATTCTTTGTTCTCCCGATTCTAATATATGTTGTTATATATTACTTTTGAAAAGGAGGACAAAGAATTGGTAATTTATTATGTTACGTTAAAAGTTAAACGAAATTTTCCCGTGTATTATTATTGTCCATGTGGCAACGTTATGCTTATTAGTATGTATTGTCCTTATTTTGTGTACATATCATAAACATGTCAAACATATACAAAATGATAGTAAGATAATTTTGAAGTATTGTCCTTGTTTGTGTACATATCATAAACATGTCAAACATATAGAAAATGATAGTAAGGGAATTGTGGACTTCAAGTACTAAATCCCATACCCTTAAATCCATGATAAAAACATCTCAACAAACAAAGGATTGTTACAAATCCATAATGCCTCAAATCCTTGATAAATCCTTGGGTTTTTAAATTACAAAACTCTCATTTTCAAATCCATGAAGCAATGCCCCAATTGTCACGACAATCGATATTGGTGTTTTGAGAATACGCTTTAACGACCAATGACTAACAATGGTTTCTGGTTAAATTGTGATTGTGCAGCTCGTATCGAATGACAAGTTTATTAGCGTGAGCCACAGGGTCGTACCCAAGCGAATCGGTCCGAGGATTTCAGTGGCGTGTTTCTTGAGGCCGCTCATCCACAAAGGGGATACGGACAGCCCTCCGGTGTACGGACCCATACCGGAACTGTTGTCGGAAGAAAATCCTCCGGTGTATGTAGAAGCAGACGTGAGGGAGTTCATGAGAATTCATTCGTCCAGAGGACTGGATGAACCGTCGCCGCTCCAACACTTCAGAGTGTAACGAAGCCAACAATAGCCGGGTCTTGGTCGGAACTTCCCAATTCCAACAGCTAGGCGTCGGACTTACCTAGTGTTAAGACTTAAGATATCCAAGTGTAAAAGAAACCCCTTTCTTTGACGGTCGGATAAATAAGTAAACATCCCGCTTGTTATGCGTAACATATCCATTGAATGGCCCAATGTGTTTTTTTTATGCGACGGCCGAGTGTTTTCAAACGTGGGTCTTGGTGTTCTTGGCCAATTCAATCGAACTCTCTGTGTTATCTCACCAAGGGTTTGGTGCGGCCGGGGCCCGGGAGTCGGAAGAAATTACAAGTGTCATTTTTTCTTAGAATATAAATACATAAATAAGATGATGATTGATGAAGTTTAACTCAGAATTACATTCTAAAATAAGAGGTAATGAAAAATGACTAACAAAGATTTCTAACATAAAATATGAATACAAATTCTAAAAATAAAAAGTATTTAATATAGATCACATTAGATTTATTTCATATTAAATAATACTATTTTTATTTTATTTTATATAATGATATGAATGAAAGAAAATTATGCTTAGAAAATGAATAATATATGGTAAAGACAATTTTGTATTTCCAAATTGGAGTTTCTGCTTTGAAGTTACGAAATACTTCAGTTTTTTAAAAAGCAAAATTTTAAATGTGTTTGGCTTGACTTCAACTTTTTAACATAAAACATAAAATTCGGGCCAAACATAGTCGTACTCTTTTGAATTTTTTGGGTTTGAGGTAATCGGGGTTCTTCTTTATGAAATTTTTGGACTAATTGCAGGTTTGAGGAGGTTCAACTCGCATTGATCGGGTCAAATTAGGTTGGATACCCATGGATGTGGGTTCAATTGTCTTTCTCAAACAAACGCAAAAAGCGAAATGAAAAACACTAAATCTAAAACTCGTTACCGACTCAACACTCGTCAACACCAAGTTCAACTCGCTTTGACCTGGTTGGATTGATTTTTGGACAAATTCACACCTGGCACAACACGCCAATTACAAAAACAGATAAAACTTGCTCCCGTCGAAACCTGTAAAATTGGATTCAAGTCACTTTGGTCGGGTCGAATTAGGTTGTATACCTGTGCGTTTGGACTCAATTGTCATTCTCAAACAAAAGGAAAAGGATAAAAAAAAATACTAAAGCAGATAAAATTCACTCATGACCCCAAACGCTCAACACTGCGTTCAACTCGCTTTGACCGGGTCGACCAAGTTTTAACAAATTCATAATTTACCCAACCTATTAATTACAAAAGCAGATAAAACTCGCTCTCGATATGAAACGCGTCAACAATGGGTCAGATTTTAATTGTCATTCTCAACGAAAAGGAAAATAAAAAATAAAAAACATTAAAGCGTACAAAACTCTCTTTCGATCTAAAACTGGTCAATAATGTGTTCAACTTGCTTTGAACAAATTTTTAACAAATTAACACTTGGTCCAACCTGCCAACTAGAAAAGCGGATAAAGCTCGCTCACAATATAGCACTTATCAAAACCTTAAATTCGGGTTCAATTATCTTCCCAACCAAAAGAAGAAGAAAACAAAGAAATTTATAAATGCGAAAGTCTGTTTCAGGTCGCTTTGACCGAATAGAATTAGGTTGGATACCCTTGGATTTGGGTTCAATCGTGATCATGCTCAACAAAAAGGAAAAAGTGAAAGAAAAAAACACTGAAGCGGATGAAACTCGGTCCCGACACAAAACTCGTGATGGTGGGGGAAAACTTAGGATTCTGCCGATAATATTTCGAGATGGGCTGCAAAATGGTGGGCAAAGGCGATGATTTGTATTCAAGTTAGGATACCCATGTGGTTGGGTTCAATTGTGATCATGCTCAACAAAGAGGGAAAAAAAGAAAAAACACTAAAGAGGATGACACTCGGTCCAGATACAAAACTAGTGGTAGCGGTCTTGGAAAATGGTGGTGGGAAATAACTTAGTATTTCGCCGACAGTATTTCGAGATGATCTCCAAAATTATTGGCAAAGGCGATGATTTATGTTCAAGGTAGGAATACCCATGTGTTTTGATTACTCAACAAAAATGAAGAAAAGAAAGAAAAACACTAAAAAGGATGAAACTCGGTACCGATAAAAATCTCGTGGTGGCAGCCTTGGAAAACGGTGGTAAGGAACAATTTAGGATCTCGCCGACAGTATTTCGAGATGGGATGCAAAATGGTGGGCAAATGCGATGATTTGTGCAAAAAACCATAGACGAAAACCTGACGAACAATAACTAAACGCTAAGGCGATGATTCACTACAAGAAAATTCACTATTTGCGACGAAGAATATTCGTCGCAGAAAGCCATAAATTCGTCGCAAAATATTTCCGCGACGAATTTGACCGTCGCAGAAGAGCAAAACGCATCGTCGCCTATACAGCGTCGCAAAAAGTTATTCGACGAAAATATCTGGTTCGTTGCAAAAAAAAAATCACGTTCATCGCAGAAGGTCACTGATTGGCAACGAACATGTCGTCGCAGAAAGATCCATTGGCGACGATGCTTTAGCGACGAATTGATTCGTCGTAGAAAGCGAAAAGCTTTAGCGACGAAGACTTTTTTGTTACCCACAATTAATATTTCATTTTCTCGTTTTTTTTAAAGGTTCGTTTTAATATAGGTCCCAATTTTTTTCTGGTTCATTCATAATTTCTTTCCTGGTCCAAATCAAGCCCAATATTTCAGATCCTCTAAACCACACTATCTATTCTTAGATTAAATCCCTTATCCAAAATCCAGATTTGCAAGCATCTTCCCTTGCCTTCCCCGTCATCTTCCACTACCTTCGTCCTTTCGCGGTAGTATGAAGCAAGAACCGGAAAACAATAAAGGAAAGAATGTCAAAACCTTTTAAAAAAACTATAAAAAAATATACATGCAGCCAAAATAGTACCAAATAGGGCTGTCAATTTGGTTTGGTTTGGTTAACCAAACCATTAAGTATGAAAAACCAAAAACCAAATTAGCAAAAACTAAAACCAAAACCATTAAGGTCCTTATTGGTTATTGGTTACCAAAAACCAATAAGGTCCTTAATGGTTTTGGTTTTGGTTTGGATAACCAAAAAACCAACATGTACCCAATACACTCATTTATTTCTATTTCCCTCCTTTTTATTGAATAAATGCCATAATAATGGTAAATGATAAAATGACCATTACAAATTATTGATTGGCATGCGTATCAAAAGAAAAAAAAATTATTTGTTGATAAATAATTTTATTATTATTATTTGTACTTTCTTATTAAAAAGTTATACTTACCAACATTAGGCGATAGAATAGAATTAGTCCAAATATTGTATTTTACTAATTTCAAGTCTAAAAATGTACCTTTGCTTTATACTACCAATGGTATTACCAACATTTTAACCTACCAGTAGTACTAATACATTTAAGACTAATAACATCCACAATGTTAACTTTAGACAACAATATTGATAAGAACATATAGAAGCATATAATTGTATTTGTCGAAAATAAATTAGAAATCAACATCACTAACATCATCACTCCACCTCATCAGACTCTACATCCACACAAGTATCATCATTCCCATCAGAATCCTTATCAAAATAATCTTCTTCAACTTGTGACCCAGTAGGACTCGAGATCAGAACATGAGCAGCTTCCAATAGGTTCTGCAGGTGCACTTGCACTTCGAGTTTGAAAAGCTGCAAATACTAGATAACGTATACAATAACTTGTTAGAATATGATCTGATTGCGATAACAAATATAAGAATAAACATAAGAATGAAGAGAAATATTAAGTTCTTACCATTCTGAAATACAACTTCATCACCCTCATCTTCTCCATCAGCCACCAACTCAGAGTCAGAAGATCTTCTCCAATCCTCACAGCAAATCAAAGCCTCCACAACTTCAGGGGATAAGGAGGTTCTAAACGAATCTAAAACTCGACCTCCTGTACTGAATGCCGACTCAGAAGCAACAGTGGAAATAGGAACAGCGAGAATATCCCTAGCCATCTCAGAAATAATAGGATATTTCATCCCACTTCGCGACCACCATCCCAAGATGTCAAACTTGTACTCATCATCTTCAGAACCCACCATTGCTCGTGTAACCTCCTCATCATCCTCCTCCTCCTCAAGGTACCTATCAAACTCAGATTTGGAACTTTTTCTAGTTCCTTTCCGAATGGCCTCTCTTTTCTTTTTCCTGAAATCATCCCAAAACTTTCCTTTCTTCTTCCCATCCCCACTTCCACTAGGTTCTTGCTCACTTTCTTGAATCACAATGGGAGAACTACCATGAAGTCCGAGCCTATGCTTGTAATGGTCAAACAGAGCACGCATTTTATCTTTCACCTCTTCGGCCAAAGCTTTCCCCCTTCTTTCACCATATACCTTCGTCAAAACTTCTTCAAGATATTCCATTTTGCGCCTTGGATCCAATATGACTGCCATATAGCACAACCGATTGATCTTGGAATTCTCCAACTCTTCTTCAAACCAATACTTAGCAAGTTTGGACTTGATTCTCTCAGCCATACAACACACCTCAAAATCTATACTATCAACTAGGGGTGGAAATTGGGGTGGGTGTGGTTACCCGCCCCACATTTTGTCGGTACCCACACCCACAAATTTACAATTATGCTACCCACAACCCGCACCGTAGTGGTTAGTGGGTAACCACTCCCCACTGTGGGTTTGTGCGGGTTGGGTGTGGTTACCCGCAAAAATCCATATTTGCAAGCATAGAGTTCTAGTCGCCACTAACGTATTTGTTGTTTGTAACTAGACTATAGTATTATACACTTGTGTTGTTCGTGGAGATACAATTTTGGTCATCGATCTTACTCAACGTGAAGATTTTTTCTTTTTGAGTTTGGTATTCAACTTTTGTGTCAGAGAGCTGTGATTTCATATTTCCCCGACTAGGGGTGAAATATGACAATTAAATATGATCTTGTATTTTTCTCACAAAAAAGCAAAAACATACTGATAAAAGTTACAAAAGGTGTTTACTTTTAATGAATTGATTATTCTCCACTCAATCGATTATAGTGTTTTATAAACTAAAAATTCTTACATTAAACTGATTAGGTGTGTCTTTTTTATTTGGTGGCTACTTTAATTTTTATCCTCACACTTTTCACATACTATTATATTATAAAGTTAATTAACTAAATAAATATAATTAGTGTGGTTATTGTGGATTTTGTGGGTTAACCGCGATGGGTAGTGGATAA